CGGCTGACCCGCCCCAACACGGCTGACCGCCCCTGCCGCGGTGGCTGTGCGCACGGCTCCTCCTCTGGGTCTCTTTCTCCAGAATGGTCCTCATGTAATTAATTCAAAAACTGGTGTGTGTTTGCTTCCAACTCCACACACCCATCCAACCTGGAACCGTATTTACAGTAAAGAGACCTGAGGGGAGCCCGGCCCGTCTGCGGCTGGGGCGCCGCCGGACGTGCAGGGACCGACCTGGAAGCGCGGCGGAGCCTGTCCTCACCAGAGCCTGTTCTTCCCACGATGCCCACCGTCTGCCCGCTCCGGATGTGCAGGTTGAGCCCGTCGAGGACGAGGGGCGTGCCGTCCCTGTACCGCATCCGATAGTCTCTGAACGTGATCTCCCCGCGGCTGGGCCAGTCCTGGGGACAGGGCCCCGCTGGGAGGGGCTGGGCGCTTTCAGGAGCACAGGTCTGCAAAGCAGGGGACCATGATGGTTAATACACGCCTTCGCTTTTCCATTCGTTTCTTCATTCGTTCGCACGGTTCCAGGTACGGGAGTTCACGGCCGACTCTGTCAGTAAGGGCCCGGCACTCACGAAGCTCCCCTTCCTGTGGGAACGAGGAAGAAAAGACACGGCACGAAGACAGAACAGGCGTGTAATGGAGTGTAGGATGTGCGTTCCAGCGGGGGAAGGGGGGCCTGAGAGCAGGGATGCTGAGAAGGTGCCGCCACACGGGGATTTGACAGGGTCTCCCGTGCACAGGCCCGGGGGCCAGAACAGACTGGGGCGCGGGGAGGAAGAGAAAGAACCGTCGTGGCTGAAGCTTGGAGAGTCGATGGGCGACTACAGGGGACGCCTCGTGGGGCCCCGTGGGCCGGGACACGTGTCCGCAGCGCGCCCTCGCGGCTGGAAGCTGGGTCACCCAGGGGACACGGGCCCCGCCTGGAGGCCTGGGAGTTCCCCCGACACAGCCTCTGCATCTGCGAGTCCCCACGGGGTCGGAGCAGGAAGGGGGCAGGAATGCAGCGTGTCGGTTCAGAGGCCGTTAGAGTCCCTGCAAGGGACGGTTACGCTTCCAAAGAGCCAGGAAAGGCAGTGTAAGTAGGGACAGAGCACCGGCCCCCGAAGCTAAGGACTTCCCACTGGGGGCAAGAAACGGGCTCCCAGGTGCCCCCTGGGGTGGCCCAGCCCGGATTCCTGGTCCACGCGCAGCCCGTCAGCCCAGGAGACGGCTGTGTTTCCTCAGTGTTTGGAACCCATGGAAGATGTAGGATTAACAATAAAAGTATTTCAGAGAAGCAGCCGTGTCACAGTCATATTTTTAGTTTAAGGAATCTGAATGTTTGGTGTTCTAAGGTTTCATAATATTAGTAACATTTGGACCTGTGACTCTAACTGAAAATCATAATGGGATCGTTTATTTAAACATGATTGTAAGTTTATATATAGCAGTGGGATTGTTGGGCAAAGTCAAAGCTGTAAGTGAGTTGCCTAAATCCACATTTATTAGCTGCGTGTAACCTCAGGGGGCGTGTTTGCTAAGTCAGATAACCGGGTACTTAAAAGGAAAGGTAATTGATTACATTTTAAAATGCAGTTTTTAAGTATTTAGTTAAGTTTGTAAAGGGGCCAAATGCTGTTGAAAGGCCTTTAAAAGCGATCGCTAGACTCAACCAGCCTTCTTTTCATTTGTAAGTTGGACATAAAAGTTTTCTTAGAAGAGTGAGACACCGACTTCTCTCTTCTATAGAAACAGCCCTGAGCAAACTGCTTTTAAGAAAGAACCTCTCTCTCCACATCAAGGACCTGGGATGGTGTTGTAAACATGGGTTTTGAGAAGAGAGGTTGTGGTCTGAGTTCAGTTTTTAAAAAGATCCCTTCACGTGTAAAAAGATCCGATGAGCCCATGAATCTGCCGGTGAACGCGTTCCACCGGCCTCTTACCGAGATGTACGCCCGGAGTAGCTCCACGGAGGTGAACTTGGCCTGGGTCTCGGTCCCCGTGCGCACGCACACCTGCAGCAGCCCGCTGAGCTGAGGCGAGAGCAAGCAGCCGTCGGGCCCCACGGTCCCCCACCCCGCCCTCCCAGCACCTCACACAGCAGCCTGGTTCCCAGCCAAGTGCCAGCAGTGCGGCTCGGTGGTGGGTGTGTGCGTCTTCAAACACTTCCTCTGTGTTTAGAAACATGGTGCTTGCTTTTCCCTGGCCTCCAGATGGTGACAGCCAGCCCCCCACCTTCCACCTGATCACCGCCTCCTGGTTGGAGCAGTGGGCTGGGAGCCAGGTTCCCAGGCTGCAGACAGCCGGCCATGGGCCCCTAGCTGCCCCGGGGGTGTCCCACCCCACCCTGTCCTCCCT